TATGCAACACTGGTGAGACTGGCGGCGAAGCGTTACACCGCTCAGGCCTGAACAGGTCTTCCAGTCGTTCATACAACCGATACCGCGCTGTTCACCGTCGGCAGCTGGATGCCATGCTACGGCGTACGGCCTGGTTTCTAGACCCCAACACCTCCCGGCAGACCACTTCTTCTGGACCTATTGGGAGTTGTGAGGACCGCCCTAGCACCAATCCCCGAGTATTCGTCTCGTATGAGCCCACCAACGCCGGTGTCTGTTGCTGTCGACCTTCTGACACACCCCATAACCTTACTTTACCTCCCTTAATCTCCATCACACAGACCTCGACTGTCTCCCTCCTTGATTTCGAACGAGATAGTGATGGAGGAAGTTGTGAGCCAGGACGCTACCGCGAGTTTGCGGCTTCAGTCACCGAACTGGAAACTCCAAATACTACTTGGGCAGGAACTGGCTTCCAAAATTCCCAGGATCTTTTGACCTTCAAAGGGCGGCATCTATTCCTCGGAACGACCGCACACAGTCTCAGCACGGCAACCGTTCACAGTGCACCCACGCGGCACGCATCACCGGCCACCTCACCTGAGTACAGGCTGCATCCTGATCATATACACTGGCCCGACCAACCTCGGCGGTGACAAGCCAGAGAACTTTCTTCCCCAAAAAACCCCACAATCCAACACGAAATCTTTCCTACAACCGAAAAAAATTTAGTTATAAAAATGTACTGTCTACTTATATATATAAATATAAATATATATATATATATAAGTTGGTTAGGCTGGCTTATTACACCCCCTCTCCTTTATAAAAATCTCACATATAATATCGGTAAAAGGATAATTAGGGTTATCCGGGTGGGAAGAATAAAATGGTAGCAGTCAGAAAAGCAAGAGCTTATGACAAAGCAAATTTCATGTTTCAATCGTCTCGTCGTTAAGCCTTCTGGGCTTGACGTGATATGGTGTCCACGCCATATTAAATGAACTAATCGAATTGACGATCGTATTTATTTCAAACATTCCATATCAATTGGATGTGCTTTGCTTTTCAAAAAACTCCAAAATATAAATAACATAATAAATTCGAATATGCAGTACCACCGTTTGTCGCATGTATAGACAACATAAGTAGTAAACGATCGATATGATTATAATTTAGTAAGAATCACATTAAGAAAAGCCACCAGTACGATTATGAGTTAATAAGGATACCAATTCAAGCAGAGGATGGCAGCCACTGGGCTGAAAGTAAGTTGAACCACATTGGGCCTGTCACTGCTTCTTAACCGCTAAATCGCTAGTATGTCTACAGATAGCGATCGAACTCATGCAAGGTTATCCATAGTTTTGTATTGTACAGGGTGTCTCAAAAATAACTGACCCTTTTGATTTGCCAATAAAACGAAGCCTATTAACGCTAGGATATTGAAACTCGTTTGATTCGAAAGAAAAACCTTTTTATGCTTTATTAGGACTAGGTTTTGAATATAATGTCTTTTAAATGATGGC